TTTCATCATCGGAGTCAGATGCCACCAGCAGAAGGTTGATTTTTTTTTTTGGTGGTTTGGGTTCTGTAGTTTCCACATCAGCGTTGCTCTTTTAAGACTTCTGAAAGCATGCTCTACCCCTCGTCTCTTTCAGATTTTGGACGACACTGCAGATTCTTAAACCTTGGGTAGAGTGCTGTAGCTATTTTTAGAAATCTCACATTGGTATCTTCTTTGTGTTTTGTCATATCTGCAGTGAAAGTGTCTTAAAATGAAGATGTGCTGGGTCATCATCCGAGACTGCTATAACATGAAATATATGCAGAATGCAGGTAAAACAGAGCAGGAGACATACAATTCTTCCCCCAAGGAGTACAGTCACAAATTTAATTGATGCATTATTTTTTTAATGAGCATCATCAGCCTGGAAGCATGTCCTCTGGAATGGTGTGCGAAGCAAGAAGGGGCATACAAATGTTTAGCATATCTGGCATGTAAATACCTTGCAACGCCGGCTACAAAAGTGCCTTGCAAACGCCTGTTCTCATTTTCAGGTGACACTGTAAATAAGAAGCAGGCAGCAGTATCTCCCGTCTGTGTAAACAAACTTTTTTGTCTTAGCGATTGGCAGAATCAGTAGCAGCACTGAGTGGACTTATAGGCTCTAAAGTTTTACACTGTTTTGTTTTTGAGTACAGTTATGTAACCCAAAAAAAACTGCATTTTTAAGTTACACTTTCACGTTAAAGAGATTGCACTTCAGTACTTGTATGAGGTGAATTGAAAAAGACTATTTCTTTTATCATTTTTACAGTGCATATATTTGTAATCAAAAATAATAATATAAAGTGAGCACTGTGCACTTTGTATTCTGTGTTGTAATTGAAATCAATATTGAAAATGTAGGAAAAATATTTAATAAATTTCAATTGGTATTCTATTGTTATAAGTGCGATTAATCGTGATTAATTTTTTTTAGTTAATAGTGATTGACAACCCTAATATATATGTGTGTGTGTGTGTGTAAGAAAAACATTTATATATACACACCCACACACATACCATTTTAAATGAGTTGTGCACTGCTGGTAAAGAATCTCCATCTTCATTCTGGATTTCCTCAAAGTATTCAGGGCTAATCAATGTTCTAGGCACTAGTGTTTGGATCAAGAATGAAAACTCTTATTACATTTTCCAGTTCTTATATTTTGTCTGATTGAACAAGTTAGATGCCATCATGTTGGCAGGGCCTGACAAAATATAATCTAAATACTTAAGGAACTAGCTGTAGAGATCTGAGCCATTAGTGATTGTCTCTGAGAACTTTTACAGAACAGGAATGATCCCAGAGGACTGGAAAAGGGCAAATATTCCCCTTTTTATAGATGGGTACTATGAGGACAACCCAGAAAATTATAGAGCAGTCAGCTTAACGTCCGTACCCAGAAAGATAATGGAGCAAGTAATCAAAAACAAACAAGCAATTTGTGAGCACATAGAAGATAAGGTGATAAGTAACAGTCAACATGAATTTCTCAAGAACAAATCATATCAAACAAACCTAATACCTTCTTTTGACAGGGTAACAAGCTTTGTGGATGCGGCCGGGGGGGAGGGAGGGGGAGAGGGAAAGTGGTAGATGTGATATATCTTAACTTTAGTAAGGCTTTTGATATTGTTGCATAATATTCTCATAAACAAACCAGGAAAATATTGCCTAGATAAACCTACTATAAGATGGGGGCACAACTATTTGGAAAACTATACTCAGAGTAGTTATGAAGGGTTAGCAGTCAAGCTGGAAGGGTATACTGAGTGGGGTCCCTCAGAGATCTGTCCTGGGTCCAATTCTATTGAATATCTTCATACATTATTTGGATAATGGCATACAGGGTACATTTATAAAGTTTGCAGAGGATACCAAGCTGGGAGGGTTTGCAAGCACTTTGGAGGACAGGATTAGAATTCAAAATGATCTTGACAATCCAGAGAAATGCTCTGAAATAAATAGGATAATATTCAGTAAGGACAAAATGCAAAGTATTCTGTTTAGGAAGGTAGAATCAATTGCACAGATACAAAATGAGAAATGACTGCCTCGGAAGGAGTACTGCAGAAAAGGATCTGGGGGTTATAGTGTATGGGTAAACAATGTGATACTGTTGCAAAAAACCACCAGCAAGCAAGATTCTGGGATGTATTAGCAGGAGTATTGTAAGCAAGACACAAGAAGTAATTCTTCTGCTCCACTCTGCACTGATAAGGCCTCAAGTGGAGTATTGTGTCCAGTTCTCCACACCAAACTTCAGGAAAGGTGTGGACAAATTGGAGAGTCTAGAGGAAAGCAACAAAGAAGATTAAAGGTCTAGAAAATGACCTACAAAGAAAGATTGAAGGAAAAAAATGAGGTATGTTTAGTCTGGAGAAGAGAAGACTGAGGGGAGACATAACAGTCTTCAAGTACATAAAAGATAGTTATAAAAAGGAGGGTTATAAATTGTTCTCCTTATCCAAGGAGGACAGGACAAGAAGTAATGGGCTTAAATTGCAGCAAGGGATATTTAGATTAGACATCAGGAAAAAACTTCCTAACTCTACAGAAGGGTAATTAAACAATGGAACAAAATTAGCTAGGGAAGTTGTGGAACCTCTGTCATTGTCTAACCTGTTCTTAAAAACCCCCAGACACCTGTCAAGGATGGTCTAGAAGAGGATACTTAATCCTGCTTCAGTGCAGGAGACTGGACAAGATGACCTGTCAAGGTCCCTTCCAGTTCTACATTTCTGTGATTCAGCTAACTAACCACATTTGTGCAGTCATTTGTTCTGCCCTTAAGCATCATAATCTTTCACAAGATTAGATTCCAAGCTACAGCACATAAGCATCCGAGGAATGACCACCATCACATATATGCTTGCTTTTTTCATCTAAAGTAGTAAAGAAATAATAGAAGTCCCCTTTCTTGGGATTCCTTGATAAAACCCCATCCAACTTTCATCTTGTCAAACTCCCGAAAAAGTGAATGGACTTCTGCATTTGGAATCTGAACAAAAAAAGTTTTCACTGAACATAATCCGTAGGTGCCATAGCCCCAAGTCTGGAAAGCAACCCTGTTCAGGACAGCACTTAAGCATACGCTTAAGTCCCAGTATAGGGGACCAAGCACAGACCAGGATCCGGCCCACTGTGTGATTTAAAATAATTACAGCATATATTGGTCTCTACAGCTAAAAAAAGAGCTAAGAGGAGGGCTGCAGAAATGCAGAGGTTATTTATAATAAACTTCTGTAGATAAGAAAAAGAAATGAGTCAGTGTGATACAACAGGATGGAATTTAGTCCAGCTGTGCGTGTCTCATCTGGCTACTCCAGATAAGCAATATTGGGAAAGTATGTTAGGAAAAACAGACAATAAATATCACTATCGTCAATAAAAACCAAACCCTGGCAGTTCTTGGAGTATTTTGTCTGCTACCACAGATCTAACACATGGCCATTATTTCACAATGTTCTTAACACTTCAAATGCAGAAGTGAAAAGTTGGATTACGAACGCTTGGTTTCATTGTTCAGTTACCCAAGATACTATTGTCATGTTTTCCTGTATTCGTTTTTCCCGCACATGCATTAAGTAACATCTTACGTTTGCAGTTTACCTTAAACTAAACCCCAAAAATCTCTTGGGACTGAAAGTCCAGGAAAGGGCAGTTCCAACATAATTTCCCCCAGAATAGCCCCTAGCATAAGAATTCCATAATTGTGTACGCACAGACTGGGCATGGCAGCTTTGCAGCACCATCTCAGAATGCAAACATTTTCACAAATTTTCCGACTTGGTTTAAATGCTCTCTGAACATCTGTCTGAAGAACATAATTCACATCGAGATTATGAGAGAAACTAAGGAAAATATTTTTGGTTGTGGAGCTAAAGAAAGCACAGCATATATGGGAAAAGAATGTCACTCGTTTAGTTAAATCAGTATTCAAATCTTTTAAAAAAATACTATTTATTGAACATTTAAAAAAAGGAAAAAACAAACAGCTGCCCCCAAATTCAGCACTGAAAATGACATTCTTGTGTGGAAAGAAAGGGACTTTATCCTTTTATCAGATACTGGGCATTTCTTCCTTTATCTGAAATTTACCCTTTCATCACATTAGGTGCAGACCTTAAAAGTTCAACACATTTTCCTCTACACTTTCTTATTAAGCTTCTACTTCAGGAATATCTATTTGTGGTTTATCACTTTAGTAAGATTAGAGGGATTTCACCACAATTCAGGAGCTTTTAAAAATGATCCACAATGCGAAATTTCAAAATTCCCAGCCACTCTAACCATATATGTTGATTGTCCCCAGTTGTCAGCCTAAGAGGGGGATTCAGCACATTAGCTTAAAACTGACTTTTCCCCCTATCCTTTTCCTTTAGATCAATCCTGGGTTCTGTTCCAAAAAAAAAAAAAGCAAATCGCGTGATTGGAGACAGTATCCTAATGCATGTGCACATGGGGGCAGTTTCACAGACAACCTTAATCCTGATATTTCTAACTTAAGTGTTTTATTTTGTAACCATAACTTGATTACATACAAAAAATTGTTTAAAACAGCACATAGACTGTACGGGTATGCGTGTATGACTGTTGTGTATGGGTATGCCTACGCTGCAGCCAGGAGCATGTCTTCCAGCCCAGGCAGATAGACATTACCTCTGCTCGGGCTAGCATGTCTGTCTACCCAGGCTGGGAGTCATGCTCCCAGCTTCAGGGTGGATCTAACCAGGGCCGGCTGTAGGTTTTTTGCTGCCTCAAGCAAAAAATTAGCCACCCCAAGTGCCGAGAGCACAACTGCCCAAGCCAAAAAAAAAATGATGTCTGGAATGCCGCCCCTGGAATTGTACCGCCCCAAGCATGTGCTGGCTTGGCTGGTGCCTAGAGCCGGCCCTGGATATAACCTATATCATGATCTGCCATGCTTGAAATCCGGTCTGTCTTGAGAATAAATTACTGAAGAAGAGAACCATACCGTATCAATTCAGAGAAGGACAGAATCCTGTTGCAATAACGGCATGCTATCCCTCACGTCCTGTTGCTGCAGGAGACAGAGGGTATTTGGTGAGATATCACAAATAATTGCTCTAAGAAGGGTTAACAAAATATTTCAATAGCTAACATTTCTACAGTGAAACTCGAGATCTCTCAACTCCAAAAAGCAAAGTGTTCACATTTTCATTTCAAGAAACTACATCTGTATCCAGAACACTTGAATAAAATACATAAACCATTATAGGCTTAGTAGATGGGCAAGAGCTAGACATTCCCTCACACTAAGCATTTGTCCGTGAAATACACAACCTAGACGAGAACCCTGACAAAGAGCAGTAAGGACCACCAAATTAACTGCCCCTGAGTCAATGGATTTCTGCCTTTTTTCCCCCCGTATGTTGGTAGGTAACTCTTCCTGCCCCCCCCTTCTCTTAAAATTCTGCCTACTTTCTATGTAGCTACACAAATAAAAATAAAAGCATCTGTGCACTGGATATGCACAGCTGTAGTGTACGTGTAGCAGTGCTGGTCCAAATGCAGAACATACCACGTGCTAGTTACTTAGGTTGGGCTTAAGGGGGGATTAAGAAGGGGAAAGGGAAGAGTCCACAAAACCATTAAGAAGCTTTTTCTTTTTTTGCGGTTCTATTTTTATGGTAATGTAGTTAAACAATGTTAAGACCATTCTTCATGATACCTGAAGCAGTGATATGGCAAGTTCTTTAGATAAGAGCTTCAGATACTGGACGCCAAGCAAGTGATCAGGTTTTTGGATGCTAAGTTAAACGGATGTATTATCCCAATCATAGAATCATAGAATCATAGAATATAAGGGTTGGAAGGGACCCCAGAAGGTCATCTAGTCCAACCCCTGCTCAAAGCAGGACCAATTCCCAGTTAAATCATCCCAGCCAGGGCTTTGTCAAGCCTGACCTTAAAAACCTCTAAGGAAGGAGATTCTACCACCTCCCTAGGTAACGCATTCCAGTGTTTCACCACCCTCATAGTGAAAAGTTTTTCCTAATATCCAATCTAAACCTCCCCCCACTGTAACTTGAGACCATTACTCCTCATTCTGTCATCTGATACCATTGAGAACAGTCTAGAGCCATCCTCTTTGGAACCCCCTTTCAGGTAGTTGAAAACAGCTATCAAATCCCCCCTCATTCTTCTCTTCTGCAGGCTAAACAATCCCAGCTCCCTCAGCCTCTCCTCATAACTCATATGTTCCAGACCCCTAATCATTTTTGTTGCCCTTCGCTGACTCTCTCCAAATTATCCACATCCTTCTTGAAGTGTGGGCCCAAAACTGGACACAGTACTCCAGATGAGGCCTCACCAATGTCGAATAGAGGGGACGATCACGTCCCTCGATCTGCTCCTATGCCCCTACTTATACATCCCAAAATGCCATTGGCCTTCTTGGCAACAGGGCACACTGCTGACTCATATCCAGCTTCTCGTCCACTGTCACCCCTAGGTCCTTTTCCGCAGAACTGCTGCCTAGCCATTCGGTCCCTAGTCTGTAGCTGTGCATTGGGTTCTTCCGTCCTAAGTGCAGGACCCTGCACTTATCCTTATTGAACCTCATCAGATTTCTTTGGCCCAATCCTCCAATTTGTCTAGGTCCTTCTGTATCCTATCCCTCCCCTCCAGTGTATCTACCACTCCTCCCAGTTTAGTATCATCCGCAAATGAGAGTGCAATCCACACCATCCTCCAGATCATTTATGAAGATATTGAACAAAACCGCCCCAGGACCGACCCTTGGGGTACTCCACTTGATACCGCTGCCAACTAGACATGGAGCCATTGATCACTCCCGTTGAGCCCGACAATCTAGCCGCTTTCTACCCACCTTGTAGTCATTCATCCAGCCCATACTTCCTCAACTTGCTGACAAGAATACTGTGGAGACGTGTCAAAAGCTTGCTAAAGTCAAGAAACAAATGATGTGCCGGATCCTTTGCCGGTGTAAACCAATGTTGCTTCACTGAAGTCAATGGAGGCATGCCACTGTACATCAGATGGGACGGTCAGTGAGCAGGCACATTGGATATTTTCCCCAGAGTCACGAATGTGCTCCAAAAGCAACACTTTCATGATGAAGACTCAGCTGTATAATGCACTTTATAAGATCCTTGTCAGCCTTGTGGAAAACTTAAGATGAAACTGTCATAAAGTAGCCTCTCCTTGGATGCCTTCCAACATCAGGTTACAGCACAACAGGTATGCCTGCCTCAGTTTCCCCTTAAGTGCATCCCTGAAATAGTCCAGAAAGTCTTTCCAAATAAATAGTCCTTGCAGGATTCATGTATTTCAAAAGAAAGCTCTGTAAATGTAAACCATAATAAAAATCCCACAACTATAATTCAGACTTCCCCTTTATACTCTAAATGGTACATTAATTCAATCTTCAAGTCCCAGCAGTCAGTCAACAAACCAAATATGGCCCTGCATCTCAGCCCACACAGGCTCTCTGGTTCAGCTCCAGCATTTCACACTACACCTCACCATCTGCCTTCAGCCCTCCAGCTCAAAGAGCCAACAGGGATCTCCATCTGGTGCTGTCAGAATTCAGCCCTCTCTGGCCACAGCCCTCTGGCTCTGGAAGGTCAGCCAGCGAGTCTCTCCACTGGCTTCCTGACTATTCCTCCCTCTTTCCAGGGAGGGCCTGTAGAGGGTTTCCCACTTTCCACAGCTTTCCCCAAAGACCTCCTCCAGGTTCCCAGTCTCTGGCAGCTCTCACCCTCCAATCTCCTGACTAACGCTCTGTTGTCAGGCTCTCTCAGGCAGCTAGCACCTTCCCCTTTCCTTACTCCTCCAGGGTCTGCTGTGAGACAGCTCTCACCTGCCTGCTGAGGAGGCAGCTGACAAGTCACAGGAGCTTTGGACCCTGCTCCCTCTTGAAGGGGCCACCCACACTGTGACAGAAATGTTACATGTTTTCTATGGCAAAAGTTTCTCCTCTGCCCTAAGATGGTAGTGTATTACTCTGACAGCCTACATCCTTGTAGTTCTGTAGCCTGTGAGTGTCAGTCACACACTGCAGGCTCCCCAGGCACCAGTGAGGTACCTGATGAATTCAAGAGTACCTACTTCTCAGTAGGTGAGGTATATTTACCTGTAAGTTGTCTGCTAGGGATACCCTAACATTTGTTTCTAAGTTTGGTTTGGCATCTGTACAGTACTCAATGGACTAAGGGGGGAGATCCACAAAAGGTATTTAGGTGCCTCAGTCCCAGTTTTAGGTTTTACTGTGATCCATAAAACTTCCACCAAACCCTGTACCCAGTTTTCAGGGTAAAAGCTCTCTCAAACACCTACGTTTCTGTCTCTGGGCTTGTGCACTGCTGCCTCACTCAGGCATCTGGATGTCTATCTCCCATCTAAGCCCCAGATTCACGAGCCAGGGGAAGACAAGGGCTCTTCTGCCTATGTCACATATGGGATCCAATCTAGTAGGCATCCTCAGAGGACACTTAGCAGATCAGGTCCCATTCAAATTCTGGTAGCGATGCCCACCCCAGTTTTTAGCCCAGTGGTTAGATCATTCACCTGGGAGACTCAGCTTCAATTCCCCCTCTTTGTCAGAGTGGGGGGAAGGAATTTAAACAGGGCCACCCACTTCTCAGGAGAGCATTCTAGCCACTGAGCTATGAGGAAGTTAAAGGTGTTCCACTGTAGATAAATACTGGAAGAGTCATTGGACTGGAGAGGGAGAATGACTCTGTAGTTTAGTCATGGTAGGGTACCCACATGGGCAGTGTTAGACCCACAGCCCAGTGTCCGTGTTCCAGTCACTCGTTCATTATTTATCCACAGTGGAACACCCTCAGGAGGAAAGATGGAGGGAGCCCCTGTCATAAATATAAAGGGAAGGGTAAACCCCTTTGAAATCCCTCCTGGCCAGGGGAAAGCTCCTCTCACCTGTAAAGGGTTAAGAAGCTAAAGGTAACCTCGCTGGCACCTGACCAAAATGACCAATGAGGAGACAAGATACTTTCAAAAGCTGGGAGGAGGGAGAGGAACAAAGGGTCAGTGTCTGTCTGTGTGCTGCTCTTGCCAGAGACAGAACAGGAATGGAGTCTTAGAACTTTTAGTAAGTAATCTAGCTAGGTATGTGTTAGATTATGATTTCTTTAAATGGCTGAGAAAAGCATTGTGCTGAATAGAATAACTATTTCTGTCTGTGTATCTTTTTTGTAACTTAAGGTTTTGCCTAGAGGGGTTCTCTATGTTTTTGAATCTAATTACCCTGTAAGATATCTACCATCCTGATTTTACAGGGGGGATTTCTTTATTTCTATTTACTTCTATTTTTTATTAAAAGTCTTCTTGTAAAAACTGAATGCTTTTTCATTGTTCTCAGATCCAAGGGTTTGGGTCTGTGGTCACCTATGCAAATTGGTGAGGCTTTTTATCCAACATTTCCCAGGAAAAGGGGGGTGCAAGTGTTGGGAGGATTGTTCATTGTTCTTAAGATCCAAGGGTCTGGGTCTGTAGTCACCTAGGCAAATTGGTGAGGCTTTTTACCAAACCTTGTCCAGGAAGTGGGGTGCAAGGTTTTGGGAAGTATTTTGGGGGGAAAGACGCGTCCAAACAGCTCTTCCCCAGTAACCAGTATTAGTTTGGTGGTGGTAGCGGCCATTCCAAGGATAACGGGTGTAATATTTTGTACCTTGGGGAAGTTTTGACCTAAGCTGGTAAAGATAAGCTTAGGGGGGTTTTTTCATCCAGGTCCCCACATCTGTACCCTAGAGTTCAGAGTGGGGGAGGAACCTTGACAGCCCCACATCAGAATATTGCCTAGCTCTGTGATTAAAGCACTCGCCGGCAAGGATTTGAACAGGGTCTCCCACAGAGAGAGGAGGGAATTGAACCTGGGTTTCCCATATCTCAGGTGAGTGCTCTAACCACTGGGCTAAGAAGTCTAAAAGTAGGCACCACTGGCACCAGCATCACCTCTTTCTCTGGCCATTTTGTGTGGGGCAAGACAGCTGCCTAATTCATTCCCACAAGAAGCAACTTAGGCATCTAAGCCAC